GTTCCGTGGCGAAGTGGTTTAGCAATGAGCTACAACGCTGAGGGCCGCGGGTTCGAATCCCGCACGTAACAAGTTTTTGTATGAGTAATGGTGCCGGGTCTGGATGTTTGTCCTTGTGCAATTTATGTTTGTAAAGTGCCTCCATGCGATACAAGAGAAAATCATAGTGTGGAGGTAACGTTTACAACAAGGATACAGACTGTGATAGTTAAAATCGTGGATTTGAATCCCCCATTCGACTACTATATCGCCTATGCATACCCACCTCGAGAGGGCAAAGAAATGCTATGCGGGTCTTGCACCGACTAAAATCCCATGGTGTTCCACCATCGTTGCATATTGGCAGGGCCACGGGAACGCTTTCGCATACTAGCGTTGGCCATGACGGCCCCGTTTCGGGAGAGGATAAATAATAAAAATCAGTTCACAATGAGGACATTCATGACTTTTATGCCACCAAAGTGGCGATACTAAGAAAAGAGATAATATATTTCACAGATTTCATAGCGGAGCAAGTTAATTTGTTAGAAAAGTGTAGAGTGTAAGTTATGTTTCATATACATTTGATTAGAAATGGATAAACGACACTACGGCGGCTATTGCTAAAAGTAGAAGGATTAAAAAATTAAAAGTATGTATAAAAAAATTATACTTTTAATAGACTAGAAACCAAATTTTCTAATGATGAGGACACTGTAAGACCATCGGTAACGATTGTGTTTACCTCAGCGACAAGTAGCAACATCTAGTGAGCGTAATAACGTGCGACTCCGAAGGCTCAGTGGTGCAGTGTCGTTGAGCACCGCGGATCCGATCCCGCATGGAACATGTATTTATATTGCTTAACATAATTGTCCCTGTCTCGATGTTTATCCTTCTAAAATGTATGTACTTTAACTGCCTTCATGATACAGGAGAAAATCCTAGTCGTAACGCAAAGATGTTTTATAGGTCAAAATATTTTAGGCGTAATATTTATAAAAAAAAACAATTTCGTCCCGTGTCTGCCACAAAAGGCCTGTGGGAAACGCCTGAATATTTTTATTTCTTCCTAATCGTGGCGTTAAACTATATTATTTATGCCAGGCGTAAAATATATCCAATATCGGAACTCCTTACAACTATTCCTAAATGGACTTTTGATGATTCAAAATTCAAATCCCCGTCGACGTCTACACATACAGGTCATCCATAAGTTTTGTATATTATCAGCACTCGCTTTCAAGTATCTCTCTTCGGGTCTAATTTAGTAAATGATTTTAAACTAACTTGTCGATGAGCTAGGCTTGAACTTTTTAATAGCTCAGAACCGGATGACAATGTGAGAATATCGTGATACTTATATTTAAAAAAAAACTTGTTTCATTGCTTAATAAAAACAGACCTAACCGCAGACATATTTACAAAGAGACCTCGATGTATTTGGGGCTACTTTCACGTCTTTGTTTAATAGAGTGCAATGAAAAATAAACGTCAACGTTGAATATTTTATTACCGGCATTAAAATCATAATATCAATGTCCTCCAGACCGAATTTCGGTCACGGCGACCAGTCTCAAAGAAGACTAGCTATTTGGGCAGGAGAAGATAGTGCACGAGTGTGCGTGCGATCTGCCATGTGGTGCCGGAGTAAGAATATCTAACAGAGAGTAGGAAACCAGGAGACGTGCAGCAGCATCTTCTTAATAAACAAATTAAAAATACAAAACTGCGTTTGCCAACCCGCGAAGAAAATCTGTGTAGATTGTGGATATCTATGTTCATACGTGGCAGAGCCACGCTGCTATATTATGGTTATAGCACGAATGGGTCGGCTCGACCGGGTAAGGACTACACTGTCACAGAATACCAACGTAAAATAGCAGCTTAATACTGCTGTGTTTCGTATGGAGAGTGTAGAGATCTGGAGACCCTTTTTACTGGAATTTAGGCATTCCATCTTAGTCCTCAGGGGTGACAACGCATCTGCGTTTTGATTCGTAATCGAGGATAAATGTAGATGTTTATGGGCCACAGAATCAACTTACCAACAGGTAGACTGTGTAATCGTTTGTCACCCTTGTTCTATAAAGAAAAAAATGTTAAGCTGTTGACATTTAATATTCTGTAACTGCTATTAGTAAGCATAAATGCACACTCTATTCCCTCTCTTTCTTAGCCCAATGAGACGGCAATCAGACAAGACTGGAAAGAGATTAAGCGAAGAATCAAAAGTTTTATGCGTTTTCCAAGAAAAACCACTAATTTCCTGATTCCGGTCTGCTGCTGAGAATTTCTTGACAGAAAAACCCAATAATTTAATTCGGCCCGATCCGGGATTTGAATCCGGGACCATACGCGTTGTGACCACCACTAGAACAACGCAGACTAAACAAATTTATTACAAAATAGGTATTTTATTTCTGGTGATTATGAGATTTCGAGGAGAACTTAAGCCCACTTATAGGGATTTTTTTTATTAAGATGAAAGCATTGATTCATCTAACACTCGTGAAGTGGTTTCGAAAGGGATTTCAAGTTAGTTAGTAGTGGCACGTTACATTTTTTATTAGTTTGAGGTAGCTTCAAATAATTAGACATAGTCGATTTAAAAGTACCCCCGAATTTTTTTTAGTAATTGAATGTTTTTGTAAGTTTGGAAACTAAATATGGCATACGATTAAAAGCTTTGTTGAGGGTAGATTAATATAAACTATCTGTCAAATTTATATTGTGTTTCTTACAACAACAAACGATACAGGTTAGTGGTAATTTCACTGAGAGTTTTAATACAATTTAACTTAAATTTATTCTATAAATATGAAATTTGATCTTATTGCATATATTTTAATGTGTAACAAAGGCCGGTGAATTTAATGATAATTCGTAAGATAGGTATAATTTTATATTTCGTCACCTGAAATTAATTATAGTCCCATTACTGTAAGCTTAGTTGTAATAGCTATACAACATGATATCATCATCATCATCATCATAATCATCATTGCCAAACATAGGCCACCCTCGGATATAGCTTCCTTGTTTATATTTGCAATAGTTGTCACGATTGGCAAGCGCAGTGGTAGCCGCAGTTTTTCTATTACTTCAAGTTGTTATCATGAAGAAGCTGCTTCTATCTCCCGTTTCAGTTTCCCTCTCTCGCTTCTCACGACACCCGCATAATCATATGGGGTAGTGGACTACACTACACGGTGGCCATGATGTATATATAGTTTTATTTTGTATGATATCCAAGTTCATTCATTCATCCATGTGGCATTTTTTGGTGACGTTGTCCCGGACTCGACTGGACGCCGTGCAGTGGCGGTGTAAGAATATCCACTAGTCCATATCGTCCCGAGGGTGTCGTAAGAGACGGCAGAGGGAAAATATAACAGGAAATGGGCAGCAGCATCTTCCTGATAATAACCCAGAATTTAATAAATAGCTGCGGTTGCCTACCCGCTTGCCAAGCGTGGCAACTGTGGCAAAATCCCCCATGAGGCAATCTATAAGGGAGGCCTATAGTTAGCAGTGGACTTTTATAGGCTGTACTCGATGAAATGGGTGAGTCCTGGACTGGATTTAGTTTTATAGGCACACGCAGCATCCGTTTCTTTATAACTTAATGATTTCTCCCCTGTATCTGTATTTATAAATAATAATAAAGAATTGTTGGGTTGGTCAGTTTTTGAACGTTTTTTATGGATTGTGTGTTCTTCCAAATAGTCTTAACATATAGCAGTACTTTAAAAGGGATAATGTGAAAAATGTTTTATTTTCTCTGTGAAGTAGATAAAATAAACCTTTAAAAATTAATTTTACTAACATAGTAAATAAGTTAAAACTTAATTAAGAAATTAAAAATTAACCTCCTGGACACCTGTGACTCTTGCGTTTTTTGTTTACATGTTTTCTAGCCGAAAATAAATGTTAGGTTGGTCAAAAAGTTTTTGTATGTAGTTTAACCTACATAAAAAACTTTTAACTTTTAACTATGACAAATAAAATTGATTTAATTCGCTTTTAGTACGGCAAATTATCATCGGATGTGATTGATACAGAGTTGATAATCCACTTCTCGACCTAAATGGATTTATGTCTTTTTGTGAAAAATAAATCTGACTTCAGTAATATTGATATATAACTATGATATATAATTAATTAATTATGAACAACCTGGAAGTATGGACATTAATAATTAAGAAAAATCATTACATGATGTGACATTTTTTTTTAAATTTGGTGGTGGCGGGCGCGTGGGCTTTCCTACTTATATGTTGGTATGCATATTAAAACTTCTTTTTTTTTCTGTTTATTACTTAAATTTAAAAAATTTAAACTCTTGTTGGGTTGACTTTTGGTTGACATTATAATATTGACATCAATTAATCTAGCTTTTAATAATCATAAATGTACGAAATTGAGTTCCCACTTGTTGTTAAAAAGTTTTTTTTTGCGTGTATACCATAATATAAAATATTTGCACACCATATAAAGTGGTAGAATTTAAATGGGCCATTAGACATATTTTAAGATCAAAGCTTATTGTACTCATACATTCTGGCGAATAAATAAATTAGAATTTGAAAAAAATTGAATTTATCTGTAAAATACTGGCAGGTGCTGACAAGTAGGTATAGGCATCGCAATGGTTAATAGAACTATAAAAAAATAAAAATAAAATAGTTTGAGTTTTTACTAATGATGACACTACTGATGATAAAACAACAACATAAATTGCACATGAATTTGTATAGCTTATAAGTAATTGTTCAACCATGTAATTCCACTATAGGTGTAGGTACTTGTAAAAGACCCGGGCAGCAGCATTTCCCTGATTACAGCAGAATTAAAATAACAAACTGCGATTGCTAAGCCACTTGTCAAGCGTGGTAATTTGGTCAAATATGAGGCATTTATGGGAGCAATCCTTGTCCCCTATGAGGCAAAATTTGGGAGGCCTGTATTTAGCAATAGACTTGCGATTAGCTGTAGTAATAAGCTTTAACTATAATAGTATGGTAAAGGAACCGTGATAGCTCTAAGTAACTCGGGTTCGATCTTTTAACTTTTTTCAAACATGTGGATTTTAACTTTAAACTTTGTAACCACAAATGTTTGATTCTATATTAAAAGTGTTTAATTATATTACTAAGGAAGCTATTATCTTTCAGTAAAGTTAAAGTTATGTAATAATTCACCGCCACGTCTTTTCCTTCCAGGATCTGCTTGAGAGGATATTCAAGCTGTTCGACGTGGAGAGAAAAGATTACCTCGTACAGGAAGATTGGATCGAGTTCCTCAAGGAAAGGCTTCCGTAAGTATATTGTAAGATTTAGAGTCATACTGTAGCTATATTATAGTTGTAGCACGAATGTACCGTGGTAAGAGCACGTTCTCACAGAAAAACAACGTGAACGTAACAGCTTCATGCTGCTATGTTTCGTATGGTGGGTGTAGAGAAGCGGAGACCCTTTTTACTGGAAACGAGGTATTCTTTTAGTCCTCAGTGATGACAATGCATCTGCATTTTGAGTCTTAACGTAGGATAGTTGTAGATGTCTATGGGTCCCAGCATTCGTTTACCATCTGGGCTGTGATCGTTCGGCATCCTTATTATAAAAAAGTAGAATACGAGGTTAAAATGTACGCCATGAGATCTTTTTGGTTCTGAGATACCTTTTTCGACACCCCTGGGCGAAATAAAGGGATCGAATCTCGTACAGCACCACTACTCGGTGACTATTAGCCTTCTTAATCTGAAGTAGCTTCCAGGAGTCTCAGGACCACAGATTATACTTTATAATCAAGATGGCTCCAAATGTATCTATCACTTTTTTTCAGGAAAATGGTCAAGGTCATAAGTTAAAATATTTTTATTTATTATTTATAAAGGCTAATTTTAAATAAAAATGTTTACACTTGATAATAGTAAAAAAAACTATGTCACCACTTAAACATACCCTATTGTTGACCTTGTGAGAAGAAATGGCAAGAAACTTAGTTGACCATTTTTCACACAATATTTATAACCCGTAAAATAAGTATTGGTTATACCTCAATCTCTGAAAACTAAAGTGTACAACCAGTGCGTGTTGCCAGTGATGACTTACGGATCACAGACGTGGTCCTTCACTGCTGGCCGTATGAGGACGCTCAAGGTCGCTCAGCGAGCTATGGAGAGAGCTATGCTTGGAGTTTCTCTGCGTGATAGACTCAGAAATGAGAATATCCGCAGTAAAACCAGAGTGACCGACATAGCCCAACGGATTAGTAAGCTGAAGTGGCAATGGACCGGCCATATAGCTCGAAGAACCGATAACCGATGGGAAACAAAGGTTCTCGAGTGGCAGCCTCGTACCGGTAGGCGTAGTGTAGGGCGACCCCCACTAGATGGAGTGACGACCTGGTAAGACATGCAGGAAGTCGATGGATGCAGGTGGCTCAGGACCGTGCTTTGAGGCATTACTTGGGGGAGGCCTATGTTCAGCAGTGGACTTATGAAGGGCTGTAATGATGATGATGATGATGATAAAGAAAGTAGTCTATCAACGTAAAGTAGCTGTTATGTTTCGTATTCTAACTAACAAGAACTGGATAACTTTTTTACTGGTAACAATCAATCTTAGACCTGGAGGTGAAAAAGCATTTGCATTTTGATTCCTTATTTTATTTAATTAGACGAAAAATAGTAACAATATTAAAAATAACATATTCTATACTAAATAGTATCATTGTTTTTTTAAAACTAAGGTGACAAACGAGCACACAGTCCACCTAGTCCACCACTGGATGCTGTGACCCATAAACATCTAAATCTATACTCGAATAAGAATCAAAATGCAGATATGCGTTACCGCCCCTATGTACTAATTTGGAAAGCCTCGTTACCAATTAAATGGGCTCCGGTTCTCTATACTCACCATATGTAACACAGCAGCATTAAGCTACTATTTTACGTTGATAGTATTCCGTGAGAACGTGGTCCTTCACCGGTCAAGCCGACCCATTCGTCCTAAAATCGTAATATAGCTTCAGCAATCAACACCTTCGCTGTACGCATTATGAAAGATGGAGCAAACCGTTGGGTTCTAATGCGTATTCCATGCCAAAAAGTGAAGACCCTTTACAGAAATATACCTTATCGAGGACAATCGGCGTCCATTGACCATTGAATCCAGTTACCATCAGGTAGTCTCAGCACGTTTATCCCCCTTTTTTATAGAATAAGGGAGACAAACGAGCACACAGTCCACCTGATGGTAAGGGGATGATATGTCCCGTAGACATCCTACCTTTAATAAGATTCAAAATGCAGATGTGTTGTCACCCCTAAGGACTAAGATGGAATGCCTCGTTTCCCGTAAAAAGGGTCTCCGGTTCACTACACTTACATTAAAACACGGCAGCATTAAGGTGCTATTTGCGCTGAAGTTCTGTGAGAACGTGATCCTTACCCAGTTGAACCGACTCATTTGTGTTACAAGTACAATATAGCTGCAACACGTTTCTACCAGGTAAAGCATCCTATTAAAATATAAAAACCTACAGTTATACTATGGTTCCAGTGAAGACAAGCAGCTGGATTTCGTGGAACAGATTGAGAGCGTCGCCTACGTGCTATGCGGCGACGGTGTCATATCGCAAGAGACCTTCCAGCTGATTCTGCAGAACAAAGTGGTGAGAATGTTAAAACTAAACATAAAATATAAGCGCTTATAGTAATAATGTTCTCCGGCCGGTCTAAACGGAGGCTGAACTAAATTGTAGTGCACAATTATAAGCGCAAGTACTGCACTCTCTATTCCCCCACTCCCATAGTCCGATTGGACGGTATTTCAATACGACCGGGGAGAGATCAGGAGCAGGCCGAACGGCTTTACTTGCTTCACAAGGCTTGGGTTGAAACACCGCCATCTTCTCTTCACTGGACTGCTATTGAGAATTTATTAGCGGTAATACAATAACTTATTTTGCTATTCGAACCCTGGACCAGAAGATCAGATCACTTAGACCAACGAGACAGTCGTCTTTTAATTACCAAGTTGTATATAAGTAATTACACAAGGGTTGATTAAAAACTAGCTGGTCCGGCAGTCATTGTGCCCCTCTACCTGACGATGAGTTTTATTTCCACACACTTTTCTATAGACCTATTAGGACACGAGAAGCTAAAATTTCTTTATGATTCATAGAAACATCAGGAGCCATTCTGACATTATACTTTAAAAAAAGAAAAAACATAACCCTCTTTCACTTCTGTAAGCGGATAAATAGTAACCTATATGATATACACAATCACTTACTGCCTACGTACAAAATTTCATGAAAATCAATCAAGTAGTATTTTCGTGAAACGTGAACATAAAAATTTTCTGCAGATTTATTATATGTATAGACAAACCCATGTTTATCTTATTGTGGAATCAGGTGGAATCGAAACTTTTTTTGTGGAAATTAGAGTGTCAAGTTAGCAAACAGTCCACCTGATGTGTAAGTGGATGCTGTGGCTCGTAGGTACCTACGTCTCTCCTCGATTGAGAATGAAAATTCAAATACGATGTAACGCCATAGGAGTAATGTGATTTTTTATAGGATAGGACAAACGAGCACACAGTCCACCTGATGGTAAGTGAATGCTGTGGCAAATAGTCATCTACATTTATCCTCGAATAAGAATCAAAACGCAGATGCGTTGTCACCACTGACGACTAAGATAGAATGCCTGGTTTCCAGTAAAAAAGGGTCTCTGGTTCTCTACACTTACCGTACGAAACACAGCAGCGTTAAGTTACTATTTCACGCTGGTATTCTGTGAGAGCGTGGTCCTTCCCCGGTCGAGCCGACCCCTTCGTGCTACAACTATACTACTAATATAGCTGCAGCGTGGCTCAACCACGTATAAAAGAATGCCTCTTTACCAATTAAAGAGGTACCTGCTTCTTTTAGATCATCCCTGTCCATATTTAATTGTTGCCTATCCGAAATGGGTAAACTGTTGAGCCTAAAACTATATGTTTTTGTACTAAGATCGTATTGTACACAGTTATGCAATAAATGTATCTTTATCTTTATCATACAGTTTATGCAAACATCTTATGCTGTTATATTTCCATGTTTTTATTAATTCGCTTTCGTCTATTTTTATTTTTTGTGTAATCTGTTCTTTTTTATATAGAATAAGGGTTTACATAATGATTTCTTATATTTACGCGAACACTATACATGATTGAAACTATGGTCACGGGGGACTGATATCTCAGTCCCCCGTGACCATGGGTGCTGGAACGCGCCCGAAACGTCGGGAATTAAAAATAAAAGTAAATAAAAAGTAAAAATAAACGCGATAAAATCCATAAAAGTAGTTTCAATCATAGAATAAGGGTGACAAACGAGCACATAGTCCACCTGATGGTAAGTGGATGCTGTGGTCCATAGACATCCACATTTATTCTCGATTAAAAATCAAAACGGAGGTGCGTCACCCTATCAAAAAAGAGATGGAATGCCTCGTTTGAAGTCAAAAGGGGTTTTCGATTCTCTACACTCACCATACGAAAAACAGCAGCATTAAGCTGCTATTTTATGCTGGTATTCTGTCAGAGCGTGGTACTTTCCCGGTCGAGCCGACCCATTCGTGCTACAACCAAAAATTAGCCATATTTTATACTTAGCTTAAAATCGGATGACATTGTAAGAAAAGGAAACATATATATAGTACGAGCGATGTATTTCCTCAAACGAGCGAGATTTTTAGTACTACAGCTATATTATGCTGATATCTGATTGATATGATAATCATACATATTAATTACACTACTTAAGGTGACCAAGAAACTGTTCCGGCTCGTTGACACGGACGACGACGGCTACGTCACTGCTGACGACATCATGGAGTTCATCGCCGCAGTCTCCAGCGGCAGGTAGACCAGAACTAAATCTCTTGTTTCTTTCTAGGATAAGGGTAACATACGAGAAAACACTCCACCTGATGGTAAATGGATGGTGGTGGCCCATAGACATTAACGTTTATCAAAATGCATACGCGTTGTCACCTCTGAGCACTAAGATGGAATGCCTCCTTTCCAGTAAAAAGGGTATCCGGTTCTCTACACTCACCATACGAAACACAGCAGCGGTAAGCTGGTATTCTGTGACAGCGTGGTCCTTCCCCGGTCAAGTCGACCCATTCGTGCTATAACTATACTACTAATATAACTGCATTATGGCTCTACCACGTAAATATGTGGACGTGGTATTTGATAACCTTTGAACTATTTTAACAGGTTGTACCGCCATGCGTACTTTAGGCACATTGTCGGGGCCCTTCTTCGCCTTAAAATCACCATCTCCGTCTTTTTTGTATTATAATTCGTATTATGTTCATTAGCAAACTTTTCGCATACACATATTAATTTCCGTATGCCTTTAATTGTGAGGCTGAGAAGGACCATATCGTCATCGTAACTGCCCCATAAGTAGCGTAATTTTTTTCGAGTGTATGTATGTCAGTTTTTTTATTATAATGTCTATTTTGTTATGTCTTTTATTGTTTCGTAGTATGTCTATTTATGTACGTATGTTTGTACGTATGTATGTCTACGCATTGTCTAGCCCAAACGGCTTGATTGATCTTAACATATGTGGTGTCGTTAGAATCGTCTTTATTTCAGAAGTAACATAGGGTATAAATTTTTTCTCTTTTCAGTAATCTTTTTCACGCTGTCGGATTTTATAAATTACTGGTTTAAATTTTGGACTTAACAGAATAGTTGAGCTACTAATCAGTTATTGTCTCTCATAACAGACCTCGTGTGGGCATCGACAAGCCCAGCGTTGACAGACTCGAGCAGTTGTTTAGGCAGACTGTGGGGGATCAGAAAGAGATCACAAGGGAGCAGTTCCAGAAGATTGTCGTATCTAAGAACGTAAGTTTTAAAAACCTTCCAATATCATCACGCCGTTAATCTATACAAATAAATAAAATTGAATTGTCTGTTTGTAATGTCAAAATAACAACTTTTTACTAAATACAAAGTGTATTCGGTACTTATAACAAAAACACGATTTTTAAAATTTTTGTAACAGATATACAGACATATCTGTTTGTTGCGGCTAATCTCTGAAACGGCTGGACTGATTTTGACGAGACTGGCAGACAGCTGACATTATAAGGGGTATTTTAGGTTACTTTTTTTTAAATTTAGGTTTCCACAAAAAGAATTAAGCCCATTAAATCTAATCGTAACAAAATCTCCAACCGAAGACCATTTTTACTGGAAACGAGACATTCTATCGTAGTCCTCGTGGGTGACAACGCATCTGCATTTTGATTCTTAATCTGAGATAAATGTAGTTGTCTATGGGCCACAGCATCCACTTACCATCAGGTGGACTGTGTGCTCGTTTGTCACTCCATTCTATAAAAAAATACTAAATCATTTGGCGGCAGCGGTTTAGTAATGAGTTGCGGTTGAGGGCCGCGGGTTGGAAGCCCGCTCGGAATAATTATTTGTATGATCTACTAATAATTGTCTCGGGATTGATTTTGTATCCTTGTGTAATTTATGTATGTAAACTGTATCTACGATTCAGGAAAAAATTCAAATGTGGCGGTAACGTTTTTTAAAATCGAAAAAGTGTTTACTCGCGATTTATTTTAAACGGTGGTACGTTTTATTTAAAAAATCGGTTATGCGAAAATTAATGTTTGTTTGTTCGTATTTTATGTGCTGCCATAATCGTTCATCAGACTGTGGTAAAACTTTGAAACTTATTGCTTGCACTTGCGTGAGGGTGATGGTTATAGGCATGGTACAGTTAACTAACAGTAGGTGGGGTGCGTAACGTACCGATTAATTTATTTGAAAATTGTATATTAGTCAACTTCAATGATTATATTCTCATACATAAAACAATACAAGCCTTCCAAATTTAAAACGATATTTTCACAGCTATGGCAGCAAAGCGTCGGGTTCCTGCTAGTAACCTATAAAAAAGATACTCGTCTTCTCTTTCAGCCCTTTTTCACCGAGCGCGTGTTCCAAATCTTCGACGAAGATAGCTCTGGTACGATTTCTCACCACGAGTTCATTGCGGCAGTGCATCGCTTTGGGCGGCAAACCCCCGAAGACAAGATCAAGTTCCTATTCAAAGTCTATGATTTGGATGGTTTGTTATATTTTTTTAAATTTAATTGAAAAAAGAATATTTATACTTGATAGAGCCATACTGCATGCAGTTTTATTATGGTTGTAGCACAAATCGGTCGCCTCAACTGGAGTAACACCACGCTATCACAGAATACCAGCGTAAAATACCAGCTCAATGCTACTGTGTTTCGTATGCTGAGTATAGAGAACCGGAGACCGTTTTTACTAGAAACGAGGCATTCCGTCTTAGTCCTCAGAGGTGACGACGCATCTGAATTTTGATTCTACATTGAGGATTAATATATTTTTCTAAAGAAAAGAGGGCAAACGAGCATGTTGCTCACGTAATGGTAAGTGTCGACCGCCGTCCATGTACAACTGCAACACCAGGGGAATCGCAGTAGCGTTGACAGCCTTTTAATAATTAAAAAATCAAAAACCCGACTGCAAAAAGACAATTTAAAAGTAATGCACTAAAAACCCGAAGCAAGATTGAGTAAAGAAAACAAAATAAGAAAAAAACTATAAGCAAAGTAAACTCTACTTCGGTTTAACAGACTATATTATGAGCTGAAAGCCAAAGTAAAATAGCCAACAGACCAGGGTCAAAGCTGTCAAAATAATTAAAACGAAAAAAAAAATTAAGTAAGATGAAATCTATTGAAAGGAAGGGATTACCTTTTTTTTCGTTTTTAATTATTTTTGATGGTTTTGACCCTGGTCTACTTAGGCTATTTTGCTTAGGCTTTCAGCTCATGATATAGTCTGTTAAACCGAAGTAGAGTTTACTACTTTTTAGATATCCTATTCGATAGGTTTAGTGATTTTTTTCTATTAACGTATGATTATTTTGCGCCAAAAATCCGCCTTTTTAATTATTTTGAAAATATCTAAGAACACTTGGGTTGTTAAGACGTATAAAATGATATCTTAATTGTCGAAATCCATCCAGCCGTTTGGTAGATACGAGGTAATAAAGAAATTTACAAACATACAAGATACCTTCAAAAGAGTCATTACCAAGGCAAAGTCAGAGCACATAGGCAGAATTGGCGAGAGACTAGTTCGTCTTCCTTCTGGAACCCGTGCATTCTGGTCTCTCGCCAAGGCTGTCCAGGGGAATTTCTGTCAGCCATCTCTTCCATCTCTGCACAGGGAGGACGACTCACTGGCCCACACCGCAAAGGAGAAAGCCGATCTTCTAGGCTCTTTCTTTGCGTCTAACTCGACTCTCGATGACGGGGGGAGTACGCCGCCGACCATCCCGCGGTGTGAGTGCTCCATGCCGGAAGTGCACTTCACTCAGCGCTCGGTTCGCAAAGCACTCCTCTCCCTGGACATCCATAAGTCGAGTGGGCCTGATGGAATCCCCCCAATTGTGCTGAGGACGTGTGCTCCAGAGTTGGCACCGGTTTTAACGCGTCTTTTCCGGTACTCCTACTCCCTAGGCGTAGTCCCAAAATCATGGAAGACGGCTTTCGTCCACCCGATCCCTAAAAAAGGCGACCGCTCAGACCCGTCCAACTACCGGCCTATCGCCATCACCTCCTTGTTCTCCAAAACAATGGAGTCCATTGTAAACTGCCAGCTCATGAGGTACCTTGAGGATCACCAGCTGATTAGTGACCGCCAATACGGTTTTCGCCGTGGTAGGTCAGCTGGTGATCTTCTGGTCTACCTAACTCACAGATGGGCGGAGGCAGTAGAGTCCAAGGGGGAGGCATTGGCCGTTAGTTTGGACATTGCGAAGGCCTTCGATCGGGTTTGGCACAAAGCGCTTCTTTCGAAGCTCCCTTCCTATGGGCTTCCCGAGAAATTGTGCGATTGGATCACCAGTTTTCTTGCAGATCGGAGCATCAAGGTCGTTGTAGACGGTGCAAGCTCCGATTGCAAGCTTATTAATGCTGGTGTTCCACAGGGCTGCGTGCTATCGCCAACGCTGTTTCTTCTGCATATCAATGATATGTTGCAAACCCGTAGCATTCATTGCTATGCAGATGACAGCACTGGTGATGCTCTTTACACCGGCCGAGCAAATATTTCTCGGGAAAACGTCTCTGAGTGCCGGGACAAACTTGTGTCTGAAGTCGAGTCTCTGCTGGACAGAGTCTCGGATTGGGGGCGACTAAATCTAGTCCAGTTTAACCCCCAGAAGACACAAGTTTGCGCGTTAACCGCTAAAAAGAACCCCTTTGTCGTATCCCCTCAGTTTCAAGGCACTCCCCTTGTTGCCTCAGCCAGTATCGGAATCCTCGGCGTCGACATATCGAGTGACGTGCAGTTTCGTGGTCACTTGGAAGGGAAGGCCAAATTGGCCTCTAAAAAGCTTGGCGTGCTCAGCAGAGCGGGACAGTATTTCATGCCGGCACACCGCCTGCAACTTTACAAGGCGCAGGTTCGGCCGCTCATGGAATACTGTTCCCATCTCTGGGCTGGGGCTCCCCAGTACCAGCTCCTTCCACTTGACCGCATCCAGCGCAGAGCGGCTCGAATCGTCGACGACCGAGTGCTTTCCGATCGGCTCGATTCACTGGCGCTGCGAAGAGATGTTGCATCTCTTTGCGTATTTTATCGCATCTATCACGGGGAGTGCTCTGAGGAATTGTTCGGATTAATCCCAGCCGCCAAATTTCGTGAACGCACTACACGGCAAACGTCCCGATACCATCCACACCATCTGGATGCTTGGCGGTCCACCACTGTACGTTTCAAAAGGAGTTTTCTTCCGCGTACAACCTCTCTGTGGAATAATTTACCACCGGTGATTTTTCCGGACCGATACGACCTGGGGACCTTCAAGAAAAGAGCTTACTCCTTTCTAAAGGGCCGGCAACGCACCTGCAATTCCCCTGGTGTTGCGGTTGATCATGGGCGGCGGTAGTCACTTAACATCAGGTGAGCCACATGCTCGTTTGCCCCCCTCTTCTATAAAAAAAAAAAAAAAAAAAAAAAAAAAAAGATACGCGTGAAAAACATAACCCTTCCTTGGCAGTCGGGTAATAATAAAGAAATTTACAATTATACAAGATACGCGTGAAAAACATAACCCTTCCTTGGCAGTCGGGTAATAATAAAGAAATTTACAAACATACAAGATACGCGTGAAAAACATAACCCTTCCTTGGCAGTCTGGTAATAATAAAGAAATTTACAATTATACAAGATACGCGTGAAAAACATAACCCTTCCTTGGCAGTCGGGTAATAAATAAAGAAATTTACAAACATACAAGATACGCGTGAAAAACATAACCCTTCCTTGGCAGTCTGGTAAAAAGAGTAGGCTCCTTATTTTATTTTATTTTATTTTATTTTATTTTATATTTATTTATTGGCCATTTCGTTACATTACATAACATTGGTACGTCAAAATTACAATTACATTAGATTTAGAGATTAGTTATAGTATTACCTAATATATTAAGAAAAAAATGGCAAACAAGCTTCGAAAAAAACTAACTACATTACACAAAACTAAAATCGACTAAAAGATTTACTACAACATCAATTGTTAAAATGCGTCGATAAAGCTGCGTCTTTTTGACCCTTTAATATTTGATTTACTGATGAAGAGCTATCGTATCATAGAGCCTTCTATGCAAACAAGGCTGTAGTTTTTGAGTTAGAAGAAAGTGACCATATTACCCTCACGTACTATAATATTTAAAATGGGTGAAAATTCTGAAATAAATGACTATTATTATCTATTATTATTATTATTACAGGCGATGGCTTAATCCAACATCGCGAGCTGCAGCACGTAATGCGCGCGTGTATGGAGGAAAACGGAATGACGTTCAGCGATGACCAACTTCTGGAGCTAACTGGCGCTATGTTCGAGGATGCGGACGTGGAGCAACGTGGCGCCATCACTTACGAAGCGCTCAGAGATCAACTGAGCAAACATGGGGGGCTGCTGGAGAATTTGTCTATCAGGTAAACATGCTTTAATTCCTTCTTCCCTTTTCCACCATCAGACAACCAGACTGTCGACTGTTCTTCACTCCTCTGATGTCGATATTTCAGGCATTGGAACCAAATGATTTGCTTCGACTTTTGTAATGAGTACAGCAAAGGAGTGGAATCATTTATCGGTGTCTGTATTTCCGTCTGAATACAATCTGGGCGTCTTCAAACTATAAGAGTATAACGGCTTTTATTACGCCGAGACAGCGCGATTTACAGTCTAAACCTCACGGGTGACAGCGCATCTGTATTTTGATTTGTAATCAAAGATAGATGTCGATGTCTATAAGCTACAGCAACCACTTACAACCAGGTGGACTGTGTAACCTATAAAAAAATAGAGTGATGGGTGATCTTACTTCGCAACCACACGCCACCCTCATCCAAAAGGTGTTCCCAATAGTACCACTAAAATTGATAATATCCATTTACCGAACACGTTGTACTGCCCCTTTTTAAACATTTTTAGTTTAATACAGGACCACCACCGACACTATTTGGTACGAAGTGTCCAAATAATCAGTTTATTGCTGACTTGAGCCTTTTGGATAGTAGGAAAGATTTGCCATAGCCAATCAGCAGGTGTAGTGTCAGAAGTAAGCTTCTTTTATGAAGCCGCCCGTCGCCGGACTGGGTCGTGGCGGTAGTTTTTCATCTAGTATAAACGTTATACTGTCATCTATCTAAAGCTTTGAGCTTAAAATTAGCTTACACTAAAGTAGCACTTAAACTAGCTAATGACGGTGCAATCTTTCATAATATGACAAACGAGCACACAATCCACCTGATGGTAAGTGGGTGCTGTCGCCAATAGACATCTACATCTACTCGTATTTTCGATTATGAATCAAAATGCTGATGCGTTGTCACCCCTGAGGAACAAGAACTTGCAGCGTCATCAAAAAAACTGGTTTCCGTTTCTCTTCATCATTCTTCGTCACTCACCATGCGAAACACGGTAGCTTTATACTGTTATTTCGCAATGGTATCGAAATGGTATTATTTGCGCACGTAGTTCTTTCTCATACAATCCAGCGCGACACTACCACGTACAAAATATTGAACTAAAAAATATATTATTAACATTTTTGCAGCATAGACCGCTGGTTGGTCCCCCCACCACCAGACCCTGAGCCAACATCATTCCTCCAGAAGCTGAACAAGATGAAGCCGTACCAGCTCTCCTGGCCTTACTTCAAAAACAACCAGGTGTTCCTCGCGTACTTGGGCCTGTTCTTTTTGATCAACCTCGGTCTATTCGCGGCCAGGTGTGTGGAGTACAGGAACTCTAATGGATTCGTTATATTTGCTAGGGCTTGTGGTAAGTGTTTTGAAGTGGCAGATTTTTAATTTTATAATGGGATAAACATCGGAGATGAGGTTTTATATTGTAATCGCTTATCAGTATGAGGATACCACTCGGTTTCCTTTCTTTCCAATCCCTCTCCCCCACCAAACCTTATGAGGCGAAAATCGAATGAAGAATCGCATGTCTATATTTAGGTGAATGCATTTATAACTATATCGAATTGCAATTATACAACTGAGAGAATAGACTGCAAAAATTATGGGTAATGGAGGAAGCAAGTAGATCTGATACCAAAAATAATTTTAATTTTGGTTTTCACTTCCAGGTCAATGCCTGAATTTCAACTGCTCATGGGTTTTGGTGCTTATGTTGCGGAATTGTATCACGGCGCTTCGAGTGCGAGGGTTGGGATCCTTCTTGCCCCTCGACCATCACATCTATTTGCACAAACTAACCGGCGTTCTCATCATCATATACAGCATCGTGCACACTGTCATGCATTTGTGTAACTTCAGTGAGTACTCGCTTATTACTACAATAATCCTAATTAAAACATATCCACAAACAGAGCACTGTTGAACAAAGACAAAACCTATCACAGGCTTGGAAGAATAATAATGTCCTCAGACAGAATTTCGGTCAAGATGGTCCGTCTTAACGTATACTTGCCATCTACGTTGGATTATAGTGCTCAAGTGTATACGCAAGCACAGGTGCACTCTCTATTCCCTCACTCTCATAGTCCGATCGTTCGATAAACCGAAACGAACGGAGAGAGATCAAGCACAGTACCAACGGCTTCACGTGCTTTCTGAAGTAGGGGGTTGAAACATGAAAAGTTCCAAGTATATGTGGGATAAAAACTAGCAGCTGTACTACCTACCTATAGCGTGTCATAAAAGACGAATATTAGTGATATTGAGTTTGTGGTTCTGTAGGTGATAGGCTCCTTATCACCCAGTATACGTGCAAAGGCGGCGTAAAAGTATAACTACTTCGTATTGGGGGGGGGGGGTTGTAATAAGCGCTTAAGCGCTAGTAGAAAATGAAACAGGAGATTGACAGCATCAATAAAAACTGCTGTTGCTGACGCGTCCAAGTGAGGCGACTATGTCGAATATGGGTGATATTATATGAGGCAATTCCTAGGAGACACATATGTTCAGCAATGGACTTTTGACAGGCTGTAATGATTGATCTTGATTATCTTTAAGCCTGCTTACATAAAGAAAGGTAGTTCAGAAAACTGATGGTATCAAAATCGTGGGATATCTCAGTTTGGTGTTGCAGCAACATGTTTATCATCTACATCAAAACTTAATTACACCACTCGGTAGGTGAAGCATCAAAGAGTCCGTTACCTTGAGTGGTGATTGTGACGCATCGCGCTGAGCGATAGATATTTTGGGATCGTTTCGTTACGTAAAACATACTGCCTTGTTCACGACACAGTTACACCCCCATTTTCTTATAGAAGAGCAGGCACACTTTATATGTTATTTGGGTGACAAACGAGCCCACAGCCCACCTGGTCAGTGGATGCTGCAACCCACAGACATCTACGTTTCTCCCCAATTAAAAATCAAAGTACAGATGATTTATCACACCTGAGGACAACGATAGAATGTCTCGTTTCCAGTAAAAAGGGTATCGGGTTCTCTACAATCACCATACGAAATACAGCTGCATTAAGCTGCTATTTCGCGCTGCTATTCTGTGAGAGCGTGGTCCTACCCCGGTCGAGTCGACCCATTCGTGCTACAACCACGATATAGCTGCAGCGTGGCTCTACCACGTATAAAATTGCCTCCTTGAAAATTTACAAAACTGATATTTGGTTTGTATAATTGTGATTTACTCAGGTCTGGTGGTGGTGAAGGACCCGGTGCTGAACGCGCATAACTTCACAGTGTGGGAGTGGATAGGCACGAGCCGACCGGGCTTGTTCGGGCTGGTGGGCGGCGCCGCCAACCCCACGGGGCTGGCACTGCTTGTCATCCTGCTAGTGCTGGCCGTCTTTAGCCGTCCTGCCGTACGCAGAGGTGGCAGCTTCGAGGTTCCCATTCTTCAACTATCTTTATATCTTTTACCCGACTACCCTAGGATGGTAATCTTTTTCAAGTCTACTATTTCTTTGTCACGCTCTTTAGCCTAAATGGCTTGATGGATTTTGGCATATGGGGTGTTAGGAACGCATAGAATGGAGACAATTATACAAAAAAATCCATTTTTGACAGAAAACTTCGCAGGCACACAACAAACTTACCAAATTTTCAGTAATCGGATGTACGATTTAGGAACGCGTATGGGACGAACAAACATCATATTTTTATACAATATTTAACAAAAGCCTTAGTGGATAGAATCAGAATTCAAACATATAGAAATAATTTTACTTCAGAAAATCATGAAAAAATTCTATTCAATTTAAATACATTTTTATTTACAAACTGTATGTGGGTTTATTACCTCTGCATTGGCTGGGGATCTGATTGTTAGAGTATTTTGCCTAGGACCCGTCTACCAATGCGCGTATCAGTTACTTCAGATGTGAATAACATTTTTTCATAGGATTAAGTTAAATTTACCTATCGTGAGCACTAAAATCCCTTTAATAACGACAAAAATTTTCACTGTCATGAATACGATGATAATAAGTACATATACATTTCCTTAAAAGGATCTCCGGGTTGTTTGTTACATACTGTGTATATTATAGAGAGAAAAGTCATTACTTTTTTAACTAATTTTCTGTTTCCAATTGCAGGTATTCTACTGGACCCACTTACTCTACGTCCCATTCTGGGTTTTGGTGATATTCCACGCACCCAACTTCTGGAAGTGGTTCATATTGCCCGGGAGCATTTACATAATTGAACGGATCATGCGTTTGGCTTGGATGAGGTAAGTATTCTATCAAATATGTTAGCGCTGCATGCTCTATAGCGCAATGACCTAGTCTTGATATTTCGAATCCCGCAAGAAACAAATATCTCAATAGCCTTGGAGTAACTTTTGAGGGTCTATTCAGCAGTGGACATTCAATGGGCTGTAACAAATAATAAATGATGACAGTTGAATGCTGTTGTACACAAACAGTAAGACAGTACACACAGATTTATCCTCAATTAAGAATTAATTAGAAGCGACAGTAGCCTAATGGCAGGGTGCGGACCGCGAACGCAAAAGGTCGTGGGTTCGAATCCACCTTTTGACTACTGTGGTAAACCACTCCTAACACACGCGTTTTAAGCTTACTAGGTGTGGTTAAAGGGAATACCAGTGATGTTGATAGCATTGCTAATATTTAAAAAAAAGAGAATTAAATGCAGATCCTTGATAACCAAAATGGTATTACTGATTATGTAAATAGGGTCTCTTTTCGTTACCGTTATTCTGTGAAAACATGGTCCGTTCCCGGTCAGGCAGCCTATTCGTTGCTGCTACTAAAATTTATTCATATATATAACATTAAACAAAAGTTAAAGTGTCGGTTTTTAATATCAATTCACATGGTAGAGCCATGCTGCAGCTATATTATGATTGTAGTACGAATGGATTGGCTCGACCGGGGAAGGACCATGCTCTCACAGCAAAGTAAAATAGCAGCTCTATGCTGCCGTGTTTCGTATGGTGAGTGTAGAGATCCGGAGACCCTTTTTACTGGAAACGAGGCATTCCATCTTAGTCTTCAATGCTGGCAGCGCATCTTCATTTTAATTCTTAATCGAGGATACACGTAGATGTCTATGGGCCACAGCATCCACTTACCACCAGGTGGACTATGTGCTCGTTTGTTACCCTTATTCTATAAAAAAAATATCGAAATAACTGCAAATTATTTAGCCAAAAGGGTTATTAGTATGCCATGAAGTGGGCAAGCACAAAGTCGAAATAATGACACTTCTGATTACCTGCTCAAGTGAACGGATTGTCCCCCACCAGTTCATCATGAGAGCCTGTTCCGTTAATCTGGTGGAGGTTAAATATTGGAAGAAGAAGTTAATGGGAAGTAGATTTTTGGAATTAGCCTCTTTCTCCGTCATCAAATCGTAACAGTCTACTGCTGAACTTGCCATAGTGAGGATTTTGCCATAGTTGCCATGCTTGCCTGGCGGGTAGGCAACTGCAGATTTTTATTATTTTGAAGTGTTATCAGGAAGATGCTGCTGCCAATCTCCTGTTTCTATTTCCCTCGATTGCTTCTTACGTCACCCACGAGATGAAATGAGTTCTCTTCCACCGCTACCAGGGCATCTAGAAATAAGTCCGAATCGAAAATATTATTGAATTTGATTCTAGATCAGAACGGGGCAAAACATACATCTCGTCGGGTATCCTGTTACCGTCTCGCGTCACTCACCTGGTCATCCGGCGCCCCCCGCTATTCGACTTCCACGCCGGGGACTACGTGTTCGTGAACATCCCCGCTATCGCCACGTACGAGTGGCATCCCTTCACCATCAGTAGTGCACCGGAGCAGGAAGGTGAGACGATAATTAACTTTTTTATAGAATAAGTGACAAACGAGCACAGTCCACCTGATGGTAAATGGTTGATGTTACCCATAGATATCTGCGTCTATCCTTGGATGAAAATGAAATGCCTTATTTCTATAAAAAGAGTCTCTGGTTCCTCTATACGCATCGTACGAAACACAGCAACATTGAGCTGCTATTCTCTCTGGTAATCTGTTAGAGCGCAATCTTTCCCCGGTTGAGCCGCCCATTCGTCCTACAACCTAGCTGTAGCGCAGCTCTACCACGTAAAAAGGTCGGTCGTTTTACGCCATGGTAGCGATTCAACAGCATTACCACATATATCTGAAGGGATTTTAAAAAGAGAAAGTAGTTCTAGCACCTAACAAGTTTTACTAACCAAGTTCTTACCGTCCCCTTCAGATTACCTGTGGCTGCACGTGAGGGGTGTGGGCGAGTGGACCAACCGTCTCTACGAGTACTTCGAGCGTGAACATGAACGCCTCCATGCCAACGACTCGTGTGCACACCAGTCAGTATCGACCTAAATTATTACATAGTATTAAAGATATTAATATTTAATTCGCAAACATCCGCTTAATTAAATGCAATGATTACCTGGATTGAAGAGCACCTCCCGCCCTCCTTCAATTGCGTGCACTAATCCCGTGACCACTAGTTCCAGCACCACTACTTCCAACACTACTACTCTCGGCATCACTACTCCCAACACCACTATTTCAGGAAAGACAAACCATCGACGATAATACGACACGTGTTTCGCCTCTACACGAGGCATCTTCAGCATCTTCGGCATGTAGACTCTACGGCGGCTGACCTCTCTGCGGCAGTCGCCGTTCAGTCACTTAGCGGTCAGTACTGATGGTCAATTACTTATTGAAAGTATTTTTGATGTGAATACATTTTTAAATTTGCTTCGATAGTGAGAGGTAAAATAGCAATGGACCGGTCGTTTTGTTCGAAAAACCGACAGCCAATGGGGAGAACGGTAACTTCGTACCGGTAAGCGAAGTGTTGGATGACCCCTCATTAATTGGAGTGACTGCAGGTGTCAGGAAAGAAGTTATTGAATGCAGGTGGATCAAAGTTGACTTTTTTTTTTGAGCATACAGTCCACCTCATGGTAAGTGGATGCAGTGGCCCATAGACATCTACATTTATCCTCGATTAAGAATCAAAAAGTAGATGCGTTATCACCTCTGAGGACTATGATGGAAAGCCTCGTTTCCAGTAAAAAGGGTCTCCGGATCTCTGCACTCACCATACGAAACACAGCAGTATTAAGCTGCTATTTTACGATGGCATTACTTGGATGATGTTTATGTTCAGTGGTAGACTTGTGATGGACTAAAATAATGTTGATGATGATGAAATAAACCATTCACAACCTGAGCTAAGCACAATATGCGTGTAACTAATATTTAGACGTAGTTTCATTCTTCTAGTCAAAAATTTATAGGTTTTTGTGACGCTAAGATAGTGCGATATGTCATTTAGTGCTTCATTACCACTCAGCACCAGGTTGGTTGGTCAAATACTGGCTTATAATTCACGAGGTGAATATAATCCCGTGGGTGTCGTATAAGGTGACAGAGGGTAAAGGAAACCGGTGATGGACAGCAGCCTCGTCCTGATTACAACTCAAGCTTGTAAAACTATAGAACTATGAGGGGCTATGTTGGTGCCAGTGGACTGGATGGATATATATATATATATATATATATATATATATATATATATATATGTATGTATGTATATATACTTTTATAGGCTATAATGGATAAATGTCAAAAATACCTCACTTAAGATTCGCGTAAAAATATTACAGAAATTATGTGTATCTTATATGTATCTTTACCTAGTTTAGGTAGCAAACCAGCCCTCTCATAATTCCGTGTGTGGTGGTGCTCTGTTCGCGCCACAAGCGAAACGCATCGAAATCTAAATCGTGCTATCAAAGTTCCGAAGTAAAACAATATATATATATATATATATATATATATATATATATATATTATATATTATATCTATATATATATATATATATATATTGCGGTGTGTGACGAGGCGTTGTGATGGTGAAGAAGGATCCTACTGCGAGGTCGTTTCTCCCGAACTTTTTCCAAGACAACACTCTGCAGTAACCGTTTTTCGATCCTCTAAAACAATTAATGCGTAATGACCTGTCCGGAAGAACGAGGCCACCATCTTTCTTCCCACGCTTCGACCTCTCTTCATTTTAGTTGGCAACTCCTCGGTCTCTTAGTTTCAGGATCATAATAATAAATCCAGCTTTCACCGTTTGTCATGATAAGTCACCCTTTTGACAGTCTCTATCATACGCCGAACAATACTGATGTTATCTTCAGTCGTCGCCGTAGAAGGCCGCCCCTCACGCGGATCATCGGTGAGATTAGTGCGACCATGTTTAAACTTATTAAACCAGTTGTAAACAGTGGCACGAGATGGAGCTTCATCGTGAAAGGCCAATCAGACTTTATCATAACTTTCTTGTTGACTTAAATGACATCGAAAGTCATAAAAAATCATAGTACGAAAATTTCCTCGCGTTAAATTCATGCTAACGTGATACAGACAATTTTCAATTTGCCGCCAAATCGTAAACAAATGACAAATTTATAAAATACATACACACCTGTAAGCTCAGAAGGTCACGACATTTTCAACACCTGTTGGCTCATGACCAAAATAGCGGGAATTGCAAATTTTTTGCTTACTTGCAAATTTTGCTATATTTTCACTTTGAGACAATGTTTATGGATAAAACTTACAGGAATTCTTGTCGAATGTATAAACTATCGAATAAAATTATTTTTAATTGCTAGAAATTGTAATAAAATTCATAAATTACCCTTTAAAGCATAGTAGTAGTAGATACTTCACTTTCACTTTCGAAATTATTAATAATTTAAATTCTACACGTTTATTTTTTGAGAAATCTATATGAAAATGTTTGGAAATATGTATATTTTTATGTTTTATGTGTTTCTATTCGTTACTCATACCAAAATATTAAAAAATTAAAAAAGAAATCCGAAATTCATTGTTATTTGTATGAATTTTCAAACAATATTTCAAATATGTTTTTGTGTGAATTTGAAATAAATACAACGTCAAGTTATTTCAAATATGTTATAAAACAATTTTTTATTTACATTTTACACTAAAAATAAATGATAATTGTAATTAATAAATGAGACTTGTAATGAGGACTGGTGTAGGGCTGCAAAGATAATAAGGCCAAACCTGGTGCAGTGGGCTGTTGACTCCTTTAAATCATTTAAAACAAGCGGGGAGGATGGAATAATTCCCATCCAATTGCAGATGGGTATTGACATCCTTCTTCCCTATCTGGTGAAAATCTTCAGAGCAAGTTTAGCCTGGGGATATATTCCAGAACGATGGACAATTGTCAAAGTTCTATTTATACCTAAGGCTGGTAGAAAGGACAACACTTTACCTAAGTCCTTTAGACCTATAAGACTATCTTCCTTTCTGCTTAAGACATTGGAAAAGGTTATAGATAGACATATCAGGGATGTAGCTCTAGCTACGAGGCCCATACATTACAATCAGCATGCTTACCGCAGAGGCAAATCTACGGAAACAGCCCTGATCAGTGTTATTGACAGGGTCGAAAAAGCACTGGAGGATAAAGAAATAGCTCTTTGTGCCATTCTAGGTATTAAAGGCGCCTTCGACAGTAGCCCCACATCACTGCTGATTGGGGGCCTGACATCTAAAAATGTTGACCCCACAACCATCAGATGGGTGAGGTCGATGCTCTCAAATAGAAAGCGCTATTTCAAACTTCAATTGAGGTTGCAACTACAAGAGGCTGCCCACAAGGAGGTGTTTTGTCACCCCTTCTTTGAACTCTTGTGGTTGACCAACTATTGTACAAAATGGCAGACCTACGCATTGACATACTGGATTATGCTGATGACCTTGTGATCATTTCGGGGGGCTTTTGCCAAAGTACTTTATCGTCAATAATACAAAGAGCCCTAAACACCATAAATAACTGGTGTAGGGATAACAGTTTATCAGTTAATGCTGATAAAACTGTTATAATACCCTTTACCAAAAGGAGATGGTTAATTAGTCCAACCAAAACTTAATGGTAAAGTACCATGGCAAGGTACCATTTTCCACAGAAGTAAAGTACTTGGGCGTAACAATCGACCAAAAACTAACGTGGAACTCTCACCTTAGCAACGTATACCATAAGGCAAAAATTGCTTTAGGTACGTCAGTCGTCGTTTGATGTCGTTTGATATCGTTGAGTCGTTTGATCAGGAACAACTGGGGCTTGCGTCCCAGTATGGTCCTATGGCTGTACAGCAGCATAGTGAGGCCGATTCTCACCTACCCCTCTATTGTCTGGTGTAACAAGGCCAACCAAAAGACGACTGCGGACAGACTAAATAGTCTACAAAGGACTGCCTGCTTAATGGCAACTGGCAGCTATGCGATCATCGCCTGGAGCCGCTCTTAATGCACTTCTATGCTTAACGCCCCTTGATCTTTATCTAGACAAGGAGGCGAAGGCTAGTTTGTATAGGATTAACGCCCAGGGCGGTCTGAGCTTGCTCTCCTACAGATTGAGATCCATGCTCGACTCAATTAAGGAATCACCGGTCTTATGCATGATCTCAGATATTATGCGTCCACTACACACTTTTGATAAAAAGTATATAGTGGAATTACCCTACAGAAAAGACTGGCTGAATGGCCAGGTTATCTGTGAGGTCGGTAGCATCATATAGTATACCGATGGGTCTAAAAATGGGCCTCGACGTAGGCTTTGGAATTTACGGGGAACGCCCCAAATTCAAACTTAGCATGAATTTGGGTAGATACACCACTATTTTCCAGGCAGAAATTTTTGCCATATTTCGGTGTGCGGAAATCAATCTGCAAAAGCACTACGTCAACCATATAATTTACATAAACTCTGATAGCCAAGCAGTACTGCTAGCGCTGAGGTCAAACTAAGTGAACTCGAAGCTAGTTGGAGACTGCGTGAACCATTTAAACGCCCTGGGATGTAACAACAGGGTCGTTTTAAGGTGGGTTCCGGGTCACGAGGGTATTGTAGGCAACGAATTTGCCGACAAACTTGCACGGGAGGGCTCAAAGTGCACACAATTTGGACCTGAGCCGTTTTGTGGAATCTTAAGAAGCCTAGCCCGATTGACCCTTGAAACTTTTAATCACAATAAATCATGATTAAAACTACTTTTACGGATTTTATCGCGTTATTTTTACTTTTTATTTACTTTTATTTTTAATTCCCGACGTTTCGGGCGCTTTCCACCACCCATGGTCACGAACTGAGATGACTCATCTAGTTTTAATCATGTATAGTGTTCGCGTAAATATAAGAAATCATTACACAATAAATCACTTAAGATCTGGTCTGACACACCAGGCTTAAAACATTCCAAAACCTTAATTCGTGCTTTTGATCGTAAATTCGCTTCAAAAGCCCTGGGATTAAGTA